AGAGACAGGAGAGAGAGAGAGAGAGAGAGAGAGAGAGAGAGAGAGAGAGAGTCTCCTTTTTGTTTGTGGGGGCGGGTAATTTTCCAAATACCCCCATAAGTTGAGATATATGTCAAAATGTCCATAAAAGATATGGGCACAGTGGAATGGCCTTTCGGCCTGACATGTTTGTGTTTGGCTATGAATATTTAGGAAAGAATTTGACCTTGGACTTCGATAACTGAAGTGGCTTGTTGTTGAGACCTTACCCCCCCCAGCTGTTCTGGATTTTGCAGACGCTTCCGCTTCTTTTAACTATGGCGGTGATGCCCCACCGCGCAACATTGATGTAACAATGCAAACAGAGCAAGGTTCAGGCGATTACCCTGCTGGTACGGAGGGTCCTTTTGGTGATAAGACTTCTTCCATCGATCAGGGACACCAAGTTGCGGTGTATGTCAGCAGCGTCTCGACCAATGGGATTGAACCGGTGAACGACCAACCACCACTGCTCCCACAGCCGGGGCCTCGGGGAAATGACCATTTCCACTCGCCTTGGTCGCCAGGGAACGGCGATTCCCACATGGATGAAGCTGAACCTGGTGTGCCTAGAGGATACCCCGCAGAACAGATCTCAGACTGGCCCTGCAACTTCCCGTCACCAAGGACCGGTTTGTGCAGTGATAATCATGCAGAAAACGCGCATCCCCATCATGTCTGTGGCAGCGGAAATCCAAGAGGCATGGATTGCGCGTTAGCAGGGGAGCACCCAACTGCATGCAGGAGTGATTACACGTTTCCAGACTTCGATTGCCCATTCCTAGAGCAGAGTGAAAGTGACACTAGCAGTCCTGACCCCATTTCGGACTGTCGTCACGAAGTTGACCCTTGTAGCATCTTGATGAACGGAGCCGAAGAGGCCGCTTTTGAGAAGGCAACTGTAAAGATGAAGGGCGGAACTCCCGAAATGGAAACTTCAATTCCGATGGACGGAACGAGGCCAGAGAGTTATATTATTATTCCTAATTGGTGCAACGGTAACAGCAATGCTGGTCATGACGATGTGAGCCCACTTCGGAACAGGACTCCACTAAACGGAATTGAAGACAGAGGTGCCCAAATGGGAAGTTCACTTCCCATGACTGGAACTCCAATTCCAGCAAATGAACCTCCAATGATGGACATGACCGGAATTGAACGGCCTAATGGAGAATTGACTCAATTACTGGGGTGCCTTGGGGACAACCCTGCGCATCACGACAACCTCAATCATTGCCTCTGGGAACGTTCGCCAGGGCAGGTTCACGCAGAAGACACACTTCTCGGTCTTGTTCATTTCACCAACAACCCGGATTACATTCAACAACCAGGCGTTCTGCAGAGAAAGCGAATGCGGTGCTGGCTCCAGTTCAAAACAATCTTCCTCTTGGGTTTCTATTCCAAGAATTGCAAGAAGTGACGCCTCAGACTGCCCCCTCGATCTCCCGTGCGCAGCCCTGCTATGGCACTCTCCCATGAGGGAGGGCTGGAAGTGGAAAAGAGGCCACGCGCATGAGATTTGAACCAGGCAGACTTGCCTGACGAGGGGAGGGTATTCCTTATCCCCTTCCTTTAGAGCGTTGAGATAAAAAGAAGTCTGTGATTGTGAGATCACCAGTATGTGCAGTTGCTGAACGCGAGGCTTCTTCTCCCCATCTGGCTCAGTGCATCTTGGTCTTTCTTTGTGTGTTGTTTGGCCTCTGATTCCTAACTGGTGGATCTTGAAATGTGAAGCTGAGAGTGGGAGGGAGGGAGGGAGGAAGGAGTTGCAGGTGTAGCTCTTTTTTGGATGCAAATCATATTCCATGGATGGTTCTATTGGGATTACGAACGAACAGGGCAAGTCATAAGGGGACTGGAATGACCGTTTCATTTCAGCAAGGTGCAATAGTACGCCCCATACTGTGCATAGAAAGTGTTTTTTGTATACGAGTTATCGATACAGCAAATAAGAACCATGTCTGTTGGTTATACCACCACTCTAAGCTAGTATCCCAAACCTTCATCCGTGTCTTTTTTTTCCTTTGCTGGAAACCATCTCCAGCACCCCTTGTACATCATTTGCTTACTCTGCAATTCCGCTTCGACTCTTCACTAGATGAACCTGCACGGGCTGGCCCTGCCAGTCGCAGTGGCCTTTGGTCTGTTGACGGATGAAACGGACGGTTGGCCCTTCTGTGTCCGGATTCAAACATATATGTATACCCCTGATGAGTCTGTGAAACTCCGACGAAACAGTTCACAGCCCCTCGTTTGTTGTCCTCTTCTCCCCCTCTGCCTACGGTGTACCAGCCAGCTCTGTTTTACGATATATATCGTCTATATGAAACGGATGGCATGAGATCGACTTTTCCTTTGTGTAAACAACTCCAGCTGTGTGCTCGTTCTGTGGCGAGCATTCCGACCTGTACAGCTCACAGAGACAACTGCATGGAAGTCGTACCTTTACCGGCTGGCGAGACGATGGAGGAGAAGTTGGAGCTCTCGATAGGACACGCAAAGCGGACAGTTTGGAAGCTCCGTCTGCAAGTGGAAATGACCAGAGTCACAGAGTGTAGTGTCTTCTGTTCCAGAAGCTCTCACCCCCCTCAATGGGCCGTGCAACTTGGTCTTTGTGGCATGCGTTTTCGTTGGGATTTGTTATTCCGGCAGCATCTCGGTTTGGTGCGCCCCAGGCAGTGGTGGTAGTTTTGATTGCTCCTCCTCCGCTTTCACTGCATCGGGAAACGTCGAACCGTTTTCAACATCTTGCGGGCTGAACGTTGCAGAATGTTCGCACCAAGTTGTATCCGTCAGGCTTGGTGTTTTACATGACGTATGGTTCCGTGACGCCTTGAGGTGGCAGTGAAGAAGTCGTGTTTGCCAGGGTCGGTGGTCACTGGTCAGGCTTAGTGGCTGACATGAGGTACGGGTTCGTTTCCTGAAAGACCTCTTTTGTGTGTTTGACAGTTGGATAAGAGTCATCGTAAGACTTGAAAGCTGTTTGAACCCTCGACCTTAGCCCTTGGCGCGGTCGAGGTGAGGTATGGTTCGGTGACACCTTTAGGTGGAAGTGTTAATGTGCGGGAAGTTGCATTCGCCAGGGTCGGTGGTGGCCAGGCTCAAGTGGATGGCATAAGGTATGGGTCTGTGTTTTCGTAAAGATCTTTCGTTGTATAGTTGGATGAGTCCTTTGAGTGCACTTCAGATTTTGGTAGGGTGGCTAGCTTGTGGCATCATTTAAGCTGTGTGCGACGAGCCAGAGGAGTGTCGGCAGATAGCAAGACGGTGGCTTGATCTTCGTGAAGCTTGCTGATTCGTGCCGTTTTCCCCGGCTGATTGGATGAAGAGAGGAGAGGGAGAGAGGGGGGGGGGGGGGGGGGGGGGGGGGGGGGGGGGGGGGGGAGATGTTGTCACAGAGAGCTGCCCGATGAACTGTAGGTGGCAGAAAAAGGAGAAAAGGGAAAGAAACAGGGGGTCTGTGACCCACTTCATGGAAGTTTCACCGACTCTGCCCGGGAGCATTCAGTGAAGAGCCTCCATGTGGAGGAGGACAGTAGGAACTCTTTCATTCAGGGGGAAGGGTGCATTCTTTTCATACAGCGCGTGTATAATAATATATTTATATTAGTAAATAGCAATGTTTACATGTGTATATGACCAGTGACCACTTACTAGTCCAAGTACCTCTATTTAGAGGAGGGCAATATCACCTAGCCTGTGTGGTTAGTGGTACACCCATCAACTGTTGATAGACAGACCGGAGTTCGAGTCCTGACAGAAGGAATCGGATAATTGAAATAACTCTGAATGACCTGCTGCTGCTCAGTTCGATGGTGCTAACTCCTCGACGCCATTACCCTTTTTTAAGACGTCGAGAGGAGGGCAACATTGTTCAATATCCACGCTGTTTTGTTGGCGGCTGGGTCTGTTTGCTCCCTGCGTGAAGATGCTGAGTAAGGCAGGGGGCAGGGGGGGGTAGGAGGAAAGAAGAGTGGTGGGGGGGGGAGGGGGAGGAGGGGGAGTGCAAAGCTAGTGGCTATTTTGCTAGTGGCTATTTGCTGTACAGTTGTTGAGTGGGATTTGGACCAGTGTTAACAAATTGTCTTTAACAATTTTAACATCTATTTAAGTTAATTTTTGTCTTCCCTCGTCATTCCGCATTCATCGAGGAGTCCATATTATCTTTCCGTAAGTCTTCGAATGGTCCGACCGAAGGTGGTGTGAATGTGGTCGAGTATGGGCTACATACAGTCTTGATTTGTTGCCCACAGCTCAATTGAGAATCACAGTCTGTTGGGCAAGAAGCCCCCTAGACATGGGATGTACAGGGTGGAGAGTGATGCAATCAGTACTACTTTAAGAGTATGAACTTCACAAGACCGACCATACAATACGTATACGTACGTAAAAGAAAGCCTCAGCATCGATCAATCCAGCGAATTAGGGATGTAGTCTACGAGATGTATGTGTTTAGGGTGGAGGTGAATGCCGTGCTGTTCACTTTTGCTGAGTTCAGTCAGTGACAGAGAGGTTAGCAATTACAGTCGTCAGTACTTGTCTGTAAAAGACGGGGTGCCGTCATCGCCATGTACGGATGGACCTGTCGGGTGAGGTGGGTGTGGTGGAAGCTGTTTGTGGTGGTCTTGTTTGATCAGTGGAGGAGTTGAGTTATCGTTGAACAACGTTCCAAATCATGCGGGAGAGTATAGACTGTCGAGTTTCCGGACAGCTGCTGATGGCAGTGGGAGGTTTTGAACCCAAGACCTGTGGAGCAGGGTTGCACCCCCCGACGGTCGGCTGCCGACCTGCCGACGGATCGGCTGGTCGGCACCTACCGGTTGGGGGTTGTTGGCACCCCGCAAAAAAAAAAAAAAAAAAAGGAACCCCTAATAACACCGCCAACACCCCCATAGCGGCCACCAATACCCCCATACACCCCCCCAAC